AGCAAAGAACAAGAAAAAGACAGAGAAATTCCTTTCAAGAGCATGCCTCCAGTGACCTATAATAGACGCCTGGGCAGGGTCTACTATACCTCACTAACACCATTCTGGGAGCATTTAACCAAACCATACTATGTTTGCAAGGCAGTTTGTACATTAAAGGAAAACATACAATAGGAATTCAAATAATGGGGTCATCGGGGACAGCCTTTAAAATGCCCATGCAAGGATGAGAAGATGGCTCAGTTGGTAATGGGCTTGCTGAACAAGCATGAGGAACTGATTTCATATCCCCAGTATCCATGTTAAAGCTGGGTGTCACCTTGTAAGCCTGTAATACCAATACTGGGTAGGTGGAGAAAGGAGGGTCTCTGGAGCTCACTAGGATAACTGACACTGTTCAGTGAAAGACCCTGTCTCAAAAAAATTAAAGGTGACACACAACATCATGCACAAACACACACACACACACACACACACAGGTCCAGGCATAATATTTCCAAAGATTTGGAAGACAAGTTTAAAATGTTTGATAGAGAACTACAAAATATACCAAAAGGAGGGGGGATCAAACGGAAGTTCTAGAACTAAAAGAACTAATCAACAGACATTGAGAAATAGCTAAGATTTACCAGAAACTTTCCGTGTGGCTAGTGCTGTGCTTACTATACTGTAGGCTTCAACATAAGAAATTGTGAAGGTGGTCCCTTTGCAACTTGATGCAAAGGACTCTTAAGGCCCCTGACCCATGTGTGAGAACACTTTTGTTTATTCCCTGCTGTGTTCTCAAAGCTACCTGTTACTGCCTATTGCCACTCCTGACATGTGGAGAGCTTGGATTCGCTATCTCCCTGCCTCCATAGAGCCCAGAGGGAAATTAGTAAGTTCTATTTGTGTTGAGATACTTAAGCTTTGTTCAGGAAGTAGCATTTGAACTGAGCCCTCAGAATTGATGAGCAGAATTGTCAAGATCACCAACAATAGCACCATCAGAAAAAACTAAGAGTGGAATTGAGGCTAAAATGTAAGGAATGAAAGAGGACTTTTTCCTTCCTCCTCCTCTCCCTCCAGTGGGGGGAAGCACTTAGGCTCACCACAGGAAATTGAGGAAGGAGCTTGGATCAGTAGCAAGGAGAGGATGGATTGTACATGCAGAACATGCAAACATGTGGGACAGGGATGCAGGGGTGGTAGACACTGTGACTCGTCTCTCCCATTTTACCTGAAGTAAAGAAATATGTGCAACACTACTGTTTGAGTCATTCCCACGTGCCAGGGTCAGGGGAAGGGCATTTAATTCTCATAGCAACCCATGTTGTGGTTTCCAGTATTAAAACTGGTTAATGGGTAATGAAACTGAGATCAAGAGAGTCCACACACCTTGTCTAAGGTAGTACAGCTCAAAATGATGTAAGAGGATTGAAACTTTGGGTCAGCCCAGGGCCTTCTTCTAAGCCCCCTCAGAAATGATGTACTGCAGGTGGATGTGGTCATGGGAAGAAGGCTCAGACCAGGCTCTTCCTGACTGAATTTGGGCTGAGGGCAGAGAAACATTTACCCAGCAGCCATGATGTGGGTGGGATCTTGCTAGCCTCCATACTAGCAGAGGCTAGTGCAGAGTAACTCTTCACTTTGGCATGTCACTTCTCTTCCTCAATCTTCACGGATGTTTGAGATGATACTGATTTGGTGCTTTAACAAAGTTTCACCAGTTTGCTAAAGTTGGCTCTTTTAGATATTTATCTTCATTAAGTAGTCTCTAGTTTTTTCATTCATTGCTATGTTAGCAGGTGCCAAAAGGTTGGATTTTCAAAACACATGATACTATCTGAAAAGTTTAAAAATGGAATGAAAAAAAAATCACATAGAAAATTACATAGTAAGAAACTGACAAAACTTTATAGCTTAATACATTCTTGTATACTATATACAGAAATCACAAAATTTGTAAATATAATCATATTTACAGGACAATGTTATGCAAACATTTGTGCTTCACTTCTACTACATAGCATTTGGGGAATTGTTTTTGTTGTTAAATTGTCTTGTACTTTTGTTGTTCTATAAATGCATTATTAATAAGCTGAATACATTTAAGGTATATACTTAATATCTTGATATAAATTGTAAAATTGTCACCACAATCAAGCTAATTAACATAGCTACCTCCTCTTCATAGTTCCCATTTTCTTTCTCCTTCCTGATTCCTCTCTCCCTTTCTCCTTCTGTCCGTTTCATTTTTTTTTTCCTTTCCTTTTAGAGGGGAGAGGTAGGAGGCCGCTTAACAACCAGTCTCAGCACATTTCCAGTGTGTAGTAAGTACCACTGTTACTATCACGTGATCCCCAGATGCCCAGAACTCACTCCTCTTATCCACTTGGCATCTGTTAGATTTGTGGAGCAGCATGGAAACAGAAGGGAGACAGGTATCTGACCCTCAAGAAATGGTGCTGTGTTTGTTAGCACAAGGCACACACTCTCTCACTACCAGGAGGAAAAGGAGCTGCAAACCTTTATAAGGATGGGGTGAGGAACTTGGGAATGAGGAAATTGTTGTAGCTGTAGGGGCCTGCAGGCCTCTTCTTCTTGAAATTCTTTGCTCCAGGCCAAGGCAGGCAGACTATCCTCTCTGGGATTACTGGTAACAGTTGAGCACAAAGTTATCTACACGCTTTTAGGAACCCTGCTTTACCGTGCAGGCACTCTAGCACCATGTTTAACTCTCTATCCATGCTCTACCGTCTCCTGCCTCTGGCAATTACCAACCTATTGTTTGTTTCTATGAGTTTCAATGTGAATTTTATTAATACGTAAGATGTAATTTTGTACAAATAAATAATACATAATAAAAGAGTCCAAGGTGGCTTCAGAAATACACTAAGCAAGCATGAGAGAGAGCTTGTGGGAGCTGGGTGCCAGCTACTTCTCTTTTCAGCAGGTGTGATGACAACAGTATGCACCTGGTGACTAATCTTTCAGAAACGTTAAAGCTTAATTAGTTCAGTAGTTTCTGGAAATTGTAAATAACTAGGCAAGTTCAAACACATCACCCTGCTTCAGCCAGCTTCAAGGAAAGATTTTCAAAATGAATAAAGAAATGAGCAAACAGAACATCCCCTTGGCCCTCACAGGTAGATAGCATTTCTGTACACGAACACAAGAAGAATATGTAATTGCCATGTCGACTCCCAAAACTAATCAGTGTTATAGTAGCAGGAATGTTTCATTTGTTGAGGGGAGGGGGTCTTTAAAGACTTGACATGTGTTTTGAAGCTTCTCCGTGAATGAATTTAACTCTCCTCTGGTTTCTTGGGTTGAAAATAAGGTCAAACGCAGCCACTAAGCAGTGGTGGCACACATCATTACTCCCAGCACTCAGGAGGCAGAGGCAGGTGGATCTCTGATTTCAAGACCAGCCTGGTTGCAAAGCAAGCTCTAGGACAGCCAGGGATACACAAAGAAACTCTCTAAAACCAAAAAGAAAATAATGTCAGATGCATTATGCTCAATGGGTGTGGGATGACCTGGTCGCAAGAACTGGTTTGTCGGTCCTTTGCCATTAACAAGCTCTGCGACCCTTCCCTTTATTTATCTTTGTGCATCTCTTTAGTGGGAGGTTGAGATAAGGTGCCCACTATGCTCTAATCCAGTTCTAAAGTACAGCTTCGCCTGTACTCCTGGGAAAGCACTCTCCCTTAGGGGAACACATAAAGACTCTTCACCTTTTCAAAACATAAACTAGGAAGGTCCTTACCTTTCCTCAACTGTCCAGAAAATGGCATGAAAGGAAGTTAATGTTTATTAACATCCACTTGGGACCAAACTTAACTTCCTTCTTTCCTTCTGCCTTCAGAGAACACATGATCCTCCCCATTCTGAGAATGACGAGACAGAGACACAAATAAATGAAGTGACATTTTCAAGGTCACATAGCTGGTAGTGACAAGTGGCAGAGAAGGAATCTGGATCTGTTGCTGTCCACATTCTTCATCCACTTTTCTGAGACCATGATTTGGAAATGAAATCACCTCTAAAAAATTCCAACTGTCCATGGAGAGAACCTAGACCACTTCCTAGTAAGAGCAGCAGGGGCTGTATCTGACATGGACTCAGTGGCCGGCTCTTTGATCACCTCCCCAGGGGGGGAAGGGGGCAACCTTACCAGGCCACAGAGGAAGAGGATGAAGCCATTCCTGATGAGATCTGACAGGCCAGGGTCAGATAGTAGGGGAGGAGGACATCCCCTATCAGTGGACTAGGCAAGAGGCATATCGGGAGGAAAAGGAAGGAGGGAGGGAGGGTGGAACCTGGAGGAAAAGACAGAAGGCTACAGCTGGGATACAAAGTGCATAAAATGTTAAAAATAATAAGTAAGTAAGTAAATAAATAAGATTCCAACTTTCCGTTTGTGGAATTGAGGAAAGTGTCTCTTGGGAGGGACCTATTTCTTTAGAGCAGGGGTCAACAAACTTACGTGCTACATATGACCTGACCTGTTTTGAAAATAAGGCATGTTGGAACAGAGTTGAGTTTTCAGGCTTACAATTGCTTGTGATTTTGCACTATGACAGCTGAGCTGAGTATTATGTTGACCTTGGATGGTTCACAAAACACCAAATATTTACCATCCGTTTCTGGACACAATGTTTATCCATAGTCTAGCCAACTGTCCCTTCTCCAAAGAACACAAGTAATAGTGACTTGACACTGTCCGTTGTTCACCAGGCCCTATCACTTGCCTTCTGATGAAAAGGAAACATTTCTGCTCAGATCTGTTTTGTGGAGGGCAGCAGAGGCAGGGGCAGGAACACCAACAGACTCAGAGCACCTGTCATGCAAATGAGGGAGTCTGGTTTTCATTGTGTCTTCCCAGGAACACCATGAAGGGGAAACAGAGAGCTCAATTTTGGGGAAATTGCAAAGGGTAAAAGGGGGAGGAGATCGGTTACAACACACCATTGCGACACTCGGCAGGGTTGAAAGTGACAACAGCAAGGGTTTCTCTTTTTGGAAATATGAGGGTTTTTCCGCTTCTGACAGTGGGACGGAATGAGAGCAGCGCAGGCTGGTGAATCTTTCTTTATAAGCAACCACCTTAAGCCTGAAATGGCAGTCTCTAGTCTCTATTGCCTTGCTGGAGCCTCAGAATGGAAATCTGCAGGGGACTGTGCAGTCACCTAATCTCTCTCCTCCTCTTCCTTCTGTTTCATTCAGAGGCAGCCTGCCGCCCTTCTGGGAGAAGACCCTGCAAGATACAAGCCTTCCGGTAAGTCTTCCAAAGACAAACGGTTGCATAGATCAGGGACCTGAGACACATGCCATATGTCCCATCCACAGGGATGGGATGGAAACAGATATCCTTGATTCAAGCACAGTCTTTAGGCTTATGTTTTAAACTATTCCATACATGGACAACAGAGCAGTCAACTGTCCTCACTTTCCCAGACACTTAGGTGTTCAGTAAGTGAGGGACAGTCGTCCAGGAATAATGCTAGCTTTGGGATCTAGCAAAGAAGAAAACTTAGAAGGACACAATCAAAGGCTCAGACCAATAGTCAACAGCCTGTGTCTGTGTTGACTTGGAAGATCTCTCTTTGGAGTCTCCCGTAAATATGATACTGACTTAGTGATAAAGCCTTGTGTGCCTTTCAGGGCTGTGAAAATTAAATGCATGAGTGATACTGTAACCATGTTCTGAGACTGGTGCTCTGAGAACTGTAAAGTGCCTGAAAAATTACTTGACTTTTCAAATTGGATCAAGAGCCTTGGGAGATATTATCAACCTTATAGTAAAAATTACAGGACTTCATTTTGATTAAAAAATAAATAAAGAGATTGTTGGTGCAAAATCTGTCCTTGATCCTTCCAGAGAGTGAGGTCTGTGTTGAGTCACTTCCCTATTGACTCTTTCTGCTCCCACAGCTAGAGACTGGGACTCTGACTGTGTGTATACCCATCTAGGCCAAGGCAAATCTGTTCCACAGATACGGTAACTGCTTTGTGAGATTTCCCACAACATCCTCTTAGCACCCCCAAGAGAGGTCCCTGGAGTCCTTCAAGCAAGGCTACTATGTCCCTTCAGTGTGAAACTCACCATAGGAGTAGAAGCCAGTCCCAAAGGTACATATGTCTCTTCACATGCAGAGTACCTAGTTTGTCCTGCCCGGCCTTGAGCTCCTGGGCTGCTCCAAGCTAGCCAAGGAGTCCTGTCAGCTCCTTTGACTGGAAAAGGTCCAATGTCATATCATCAGCACACTATTTCACATTTCACTGTTGCCTGCCTCTCTGGAAGCCAGAGAGCCCTTCACCAAGAAGACAGACAATGACCCACAGGCCACTGCATGAGCTAGAAAGGAAGCTGACTTGTTCCCAGGGACAACTGTCCCTGCCAGATCCAGAGCAAGTGACAGGCAAGAGAAGTAAAAGCTCTAGCTACAGATTTCCAGGTCTAAGATTGGCTGCAATATATTCTAACTCTTGAACTTGTAATACTGTGGTGGCTACTAGTTTCAGACGGCCATCTAAATTTACACATAAATGCATGAAAACAGAAGAATCTATGTAGCTGGCAGCTCTCCTGCTTAGTAGGGTGAATAAGATGTGTTTGCATTGCCTAAGGGTCTCTCAGAGGGTGATGCTGTATAGAAAATTCTGCTGAAGCAGTGGTGTGTATGCTGGGATTCTAGGGTGAGGAGCAAGAAGAAGAGGTTTTCTGTTCACCAGCTGTGTGATATCTTTTATACAGTATTGTCTTGAATCTTCTCATTTGTATTATGAACTTGCTAAACACCACAATTCCAGCAGATCTAGATGTAAGTTAGGTGACTCTGAGGAAATAGGAAAGGGTGTTATCCTGCCTACTACAGCCAGGCCATTTTGTTTTTCAGAATATGGGATATTAATCAGAAGACCTTCTATCTGAGGAACAACCAACTCATTGCTGGGTACTTACAAGGACCAAATACTAAATTAGAAGGTGAGTGGATAGCAGGGAAGCTAATGTGATGTGGATGCAAGGTCACTTGCCCTGCTTCTCTAGCTGTAGGTGGGATGTCCTCATTTCTGTTGAGTTGGAAATGAGACATGGCCACCAGAGGGAACACATGGAAATGGCCTCAAGAGAGTGGAAAAAGGTATAGACTGTGTCACAATGCCCCAGGGATACACCTAGGAGGAATAGGGGCCAGAAAGTACAGCTGAACTTCCTTAGTCCTTCTGAGCTGGTAGACTACCATGCTCCTGTGTTATTCAAACCCTATCCTCACCCTAAGCTAATATACCATGTACATGAATGAATAATAATTTTTTGTTGTTGATACCACCCTCATCATGTACCCAGCTACTTTAGGGACAAAGCTAGATGAACTTGGAGGAACATCACCCACAGGTTCTTCACCTTTTCTTTTAGAAAAATGAGAGCAGTTAGTTTACAGAATTTGAATTTCCTTTAGCTCTGGAGTTTAATGTTCCTACATCTCTGTTTGTGTTACAAAGAGGCATTACCTGTATCTCCTCAGTATTCCCAAAGCCCTTTCTCCATTTTCCTGTCTTATTCAGTAGTTATTCAGAAACTGTCCTTTCCTGTCTGTCTTTCTAGTAATTCTCTCATCAGCATGCTCAACATGGGAGGCTGGGTTTTCTACTGCTACCCAGCAGCAGGTGGGAAAGCGGACTCTAAGTCCACAGGCTCCTGGAGCCTGCTCATGGGCCTTGTAAGCTTTTGCACCTGTCTATTAACAGTGTATCTGTTGACCTGAAAGACATGTTCACTGGAGAAAGTAAAGGAAGGCTGGGAACAGTGTGGAAGAGGCAGGCCTTAGGAATATCTAGGTGAAGTGTGCTCAGTGGGATCTTTTGCAGGCTAGAAAGACAGAGCCTTCCTGACCTTCTGACCTTGAAATTTTAGTTTAAAAAGGAGATATAAAATACCCACAGACTCTGCCCCACCCCCGCCTCTTCTCTCCTTCTGACTCCACCCTCTGCTCTTCTCCAGAAAAAATAGACATGGTGCCTATTGACCTCCATAGTGTGTATTTGGGGATCCACGGGGGGAAGCTGTGCCTGTCTTGTGTCAAGTCTGGAGATGCTATGAAGCTCCAGCTGGAGGTAAGAATCTGGTTTAGCTATCAAACCATTCTAAACCCCAATGGCTTATGACAACCACAAGCAGTTCTCATAACTGTGTGAATGGAAGGATGAGGCAGGTTCTTTCTTTCTCAAAGAATCATGTTTAAGTAACTGCTGAAGTAGTTTCCAATAATGTTCTTGGATGGTATTGGGTGTCCAAGGTGGTTTCTCATCCTCTAAACCACCCTCTATGTGACACCCTCTATGTGTCTCATTAAGTAGACACCCTGAGCTTCCTTGTAGCGTGGTGGCCAACTTTTATGAGAGATTATTCCAGAAAGATGAGCCTCAATGTGAAAATGCTTATTAAACTTGGACTTACATAGTTTGTTGGCAAAAGCCTGTGACATGGTTAATATGGACTCATTATAGAAAGGCATTGCACAAGGGTTTGAACTCTAGGAGAAGGCATTTTTTTTTTTCATGGAGAAACACCTCTATGACACTATCACAGGACCTGAACCACCATGGGTCTTGTGCTGGGCCTCCTAACCCACCTGAACCTACCTGCATCTAGCTAGGTCAATTCTCAAGACTATATACGTCAATTGTCAATCATTATCTATGTTACTAGTTGGCATCCCACACAGAGCTATGTCACTCCTTTACCTATTCAATAGTAATGGGATGCTCAAACATTATCTTGAGGGCTAGCTGGACAAACTTTTAACTCAACTGCAAATAGCCACAACCTTGAGTTTGTCACTAACTCTTACCAATGGACAGGACCACCTTTTGGGAGTGGGTGGAAAGGAATGACTGTTTATTCTAAATGTAATAAGGACTGCCAGGGTATCTCATATAACATATCCTATGGGCTTCAAGACACCCCCCCTTCTTTACAACCCTCTCTCCTTAAAGGAGTCATATCCTGACAGGTCACTGCCTCTATGGCTTTAGTCTGTGCTTATGGGACCATGTATCTGCTATACTTACTGTACTATGACCACGATGGCATGATTTTTCAATGCAAGAAATGACAACAGGACAGCCTCTTCTATTTGTGCTATCTTGAGAATTTTGGAGCCTGTGCTCTTTGGCCGGGTCTCCAAGAGAGCATTTCTGAACCCTCAGAGAGTAGCAGCATTAAAGGAGGTGTGGAGATAGACAACCAGGACCTTCTGGGCCCTCAGCAATCACCTGACCATTTCTTGACTTCCAGGAAATTAGCATCACTGATCTGAGCAGGAACAAGGAACAAGACAAACGTTTCACCTTCATCCGCTCAGAGAAAGGCACCACCACCAGCTTTGAGTCGGCTGCCTGTCCAGGCTGGTTCCTCTGCACAGCACTAGAGGCTGACCGGCCTGTAAGCCTCACCAACACACCTGAAGAACCCCTTACAGTCACAAAGTTCTACTTCCACGAAGACCAATAGTACCACCTAGACCTGTCCTTCCCCACTCCCAGGCCATCAACACTGCCACCAACTGCCTCCTCACTCTGGTCATCATTATGGTCTGAAGAACAACTTTTGCAGAGTGTACAGCAGAAGGAGGAAAAGAACCCTGATGACGGATCTCTGCCCTCAGTCTGTTGGCTAACCCAATCCCCATGGCACTTCCAGAGTGATCTTTCAAATTGGATCACGGCAGGCCCTTGTTCAAAACCTTTTCTTATTGCCTCTGGATCAAGTCTAGACCACTTGCTTGGCCTAGGTGCCTTCTGCTCCCCCAACTTTTTTTCATCCATTGTTCTACATGTTCTCAGTCCAGACCAATCAAATCTCTTGGCTATACCTCCCAAGTGGCTCCCTTGCCCTGCTTTATAAACCTGTGCCAGACTATGGAGAGGGTTTTTGTTCTACTCTCCTTGTTGTTCATTTTGGTTTTAGTGCTTGAGGTGACACCCATCAAAGCATCACACGTGCTCTGCCACCCAGCTATGCTTCCATCCCACAGGGAAGCCTGTGAGGATCTAGAAACCAGAAATTAAGGAACTCAAAGTTATTTTATTAGGCCAGCCTTACTCCGTGTGGGGCAGAGTTCTTCCGAGAGGGGCTGAGAATTAGATGTTCCTGAATTTGTGAAATGAATAAGCATGGGAAAATAGATGAAAATAAAATTTCCTCTTTTCCTTCTTTATATGATGCCCTAACTGAAAAATTAAAAATTCTTGGACTATATTATCCCCATAATCCTCCCCCCCCTTTTTTTATTTCAATAGTCTTCATCCTCCTGTCCAGCTGAAACACCATCTGCACTCCAAACCTACAACCTCTGCCTGGAGAAGTTCCCCAAGTCACTGTGCAGATGTGGCTCTCGGGTCCTTCTTACTGTGCAAATGAACCCACTAATTACTTCTTGACCATTTTAGCACTTCTAACCTTGAGACTTGTGTTTCCTCTGCCAGAATGTGAGCTCCAGAAAGCAGGGAGCGGCACATGTGGTGCTTGTGTGTGAGTGTGAGTGTGTGTGAGTGTGAGTGTGAGTGTGTGTGTGTGTGTGTGTGTGTGTGTGTGAGTGTGAGTGTGTGTGTGTGTGTGTGAGTGTGTGTGTGTGTGTGTGTGTGTGAGTGTGTGTGAGTGTGAGTGTGTGTGTGTGTGTGAGTGTGTGTGTGTGTGTGTGTGTGTGTGTGAGTGTGTGTGTGTGTGTGTGTTGGGTCTCTCTCTCTACAGGGAGGAGAACCTGCTTTGTTTCTTAGCAGGTACTCAGTGAATATGCATGTGATGTGCTGGATAGAAAGATTCTTATTCCTCCCTGTGACTTTATCTCTATTTTACAATAAAACTCTGAAAATGTCTACTTTGTTGGTTGTGACTATGTGCCTAGGCCTAAGGCATAGGGTGCCGGTAAAATGGGGAGGCTAGGGGATCTTTTTAACTCTTTGGCTAGAGAATAGTTGTTTTCTCTCTGAAAGTCTTCTTCCTTATTGGTTCTCACTGCCTGGGTAACAGGACACCAAACATTGTTGTCCACCATGAATCCTCTAAGTGAAAACAACCCAAATACTTATTATGGACAAGTAAACATGTAAGTATCAGATCTGCACTCAACTCAACACTCCACAATGGCAAAGATAAAAACAAACCACAGCCAGCTCCCCCCAACACAATACAAGAACCTTAATAAACACGTGGTTCAAATTCACTAAAGCTTGAATGCTCCCAGGTCAAACAGCAGGTAACAAGACAGTAACCAACACAGAGGGGAACAGGTGCTGTGCGGAAGCCTGTGACCCTGTGGTCATGTTTTGACCTCCTGTTTGCCATGTGTGCTCAGGCTGAGCTAATTAAAATGTTCTGGGGTTCGGTTTTCCCATCTCAACACACAAACGAAAGCTAACACAGAGCACTTTAGTCTTTGCAACACCCCTCTCTACTGAGGAGTGATATGTTGCTATTATCACTCCTGGGGGAGTCAGGGCTCAAAGCTTCCGTGCTTCAAGAATGATTCAAAATTGGCAACAGCATCAGTTGGGAATACAAATATTGGTCTCTGGGCTTCACCCAAGACTTCCTGTCCTAGGAGCTTACCTTAGCCAGACCCTCAAGGGAACCACAAAGGCCAAAGTTTGAAAAGCACTGCTTTTGACAGGTTTGGTGCTCATACCTTTAATCCCAGAACTCAAAGGCAAAGAACTCTGAGTTTGAGCCCAGTCTGGTCTACAAAGTGGGTTCCAGGACCACCCTGGCTATATAGAAAAACTGTCTCAAAAAAAAAAAGACAGGAAGTAAGAAAGAAAAGAGAGAAGAGAGAGAAAGAAGAGAAAGATGCAAGAAAGGCACTGCTCTCCAAAACTGCTATCATGCAGTGTATAAATTCTAGCACTTTTACCAACATGATTAGCATAATTATAAATTCAGCCTTCTCTTGTCTCCCCAGCACACTATCTTATGACCATACCAGAACCTCTTCCTCTTACTTCCTTAGGTCTTCCTGAAATAAAATATTTTTAAAGGAAAGCTTTAGGTCACCATCATCTGCAAAAATGTCAGCCCAACACATCCACAAGTTTCTGTCTCATGCATATATACATCAATATCTTGTGAATAGTAGGCTTGGAATTAGCCACTCCACACATCAGTAAGAATTCATGGACTAAGTCAGCCAACCAGGATGGATTGAGACCAGGCTAGTTTTTTTTATATTATTTTTTTATTTTAACTTTTATTAATTACACTTTATTCACTTTGTATCCCCCCATAAACTCCACTCTCCTCCCCTTCTAATCCCACTTTTCCCTCACCATTCTCCACGCATGCCGCTCCCCAAGTCAGCTGATAGGGGAAGTCTTCCTCGCCTTCCTTCTGATCCTAGCCTATCAGATCTCATCAGGAGTGACTGCATTGTCATCTTCTGTGGCCTGGTAAGGCTGCTCCCCCCTCAGGGGGAGGTGATTAAAGAGCAGGCCAATCAGTTCATGTCAGAGGCAGTCTCTCTTCCTATTACTATGGAACCCACTTGGGCACTGAACTGCCATGGGCTACATCTGTGCAGGGGTTCTAGGTTATCTCCATGCATGGTACTTGGTTGGAGTATGAGTCTCTGGAAAGACCCCTGTGTTCAATTTTTTTGGTACTGTTGCTCTCCTTGTGGACCTCGTGTCCTCTCCAGATCTTACTATTTCCCACTTCTTTCATAAGAGTCTATGCACACTGCCCAACAGTTGGCCATAAGTCTCAGCATCTGCTTTGATAGTCTGCAGGGCAGAGCCTTTCAGAGGCCCTCTGTGGCAGGTTCCTAACTTGTTTCCTGATTTCTTCTTCTTCTGATGTCTATCCTCTTTGCCTTTCAGGATGAGGACTGAGCATTTTAGCCAGAGTCCTACCTCTTTACACCTACCTCTGTACACCTTTCTTTAGGTGTACAGATTTTAGTAGGTTTATCCTATATTATATGTCTATATGAGTGAGTATATACCGTGTGTGTCTTTCGGCTTCTAGGATAGCTCACTCAGGATGATCTTTTCCAGTTCCCACCATTTACCTGAAAATTTCATGATTTCCTTGTTTTTCATTGCTGAGTAATATTCTATTGTAGATGTACCACAATTTCTGTATCCATTCTTCAGTTGAGGGGCATATGGGTTATTTCCAGCTTCTGGCTATTACAAATAAAGCTGCTACAAACATGGTTGAGCAAATTTCCTTTTGTGTACTTGAGCAAAGTTTGGGTATATGCCTAGGAGTGGTATAACTGGATCTTGAGGAAGCGTTATTCCTAGTTGTCTTAGAAAGCGCCAGATTGATTTCCAGAGTGCTTGTACCAGTTTACATTCCCACTAGCAGTGGAGGAGGGTTCCCCTTTCTCCACAACCTCTCCAGCATATGTTGTCACTTGAGTTTTTCATCTTGGCCATTCTGATGGGTGTAAGGTGAAATCTCAGGGTCGTTTTGATTTGCATTTCACTGATGGCTAATGAGATTGAGCATTTCTTTAAGTGTTTCTCTGCCATTCGATATTCATATGTGGAGAATTCTCTGTTTAGCTCTGTTCCCCGTTTTTTAATTGGATTACTTGGTTTGTTGCTTTTCAGCTTCTTTAGTTCTTTATATATACTGGATATTAGCCCTCTGTCAGATAAAGGGTTGGTGAAGATTCTTTCCCAATCTAGTTTTGAAGGAGCTCATAAATCAAGAAAAAGCGGGGAGCTGAGCAGGGAAAGTGACCACTAGATGGCAGTAGCACTCATGAGTTTTAGTGAGCAATGCTCTTTCAAGTTTCAAGGTGGTCTCTCACCACCGGGATCTGCCCAAGCCTGATGGAAGTGAGGTCCCACACAGAAGGGGAAGAGAACAAAGGATTCCCAGGGTATGTGGGAGTTGAAGAGGAGGTTTCTACGCCTAAGAAATATCTGCTTTAGACTCCGAAGGGAAACAACTTTTTGTCTAAGGTTTTAAAACCTTGGCATAAAGATGTTGGGTTTCATGGAGGTCTGTATTTTGGTAGCAGACAGGCTCTTAGTGGACAAACACCTGCTTATTTGAGCTATATTTAAAGCAACAATGTGCAAACATTTGAGTTTTGGCATTGTCTGGGTTTGGAGCTTTTGGATCTGGCACTGAAGAAACTAGCCATGTAGATATCAGTACACAAAACCCATCGTTGGTTCATTTATATTACACAAGAAATAATAGTATGTCCACAGCTTGGAGAGTCCAGGCTTGGGTAGCATATCCAAGAGGGCCCTCTGTTTCTCTCTGTTTCTCTCTCTCTCAACAGGGTTTTTCAGTGTAGCCCTGGCTGTCCTGGTACTTACTCTGTAGACCAGACTGGCCTCACAGAGACTCATCTGCCTCTGCCTCCCAAGTGCTGGGATTAAAGGTGTGTGCCACCTTTGACAGGCAGGAGGTCTCTTTTTAATTAGGAGGCAGTAAAACAGTGAAACTGGTGTTAAGTCTGAGGATATGAAAGCTTAAGTTGTGAGGTCTAAGGTATTTTAAGGTGTGTAAATGCAACTTGTAACGGTATAAGAAAGTGAGTTAAAGTATATAAAAAATGACAGGTTTCTTTGTCAGTTTCTTTCCCTCACTATGCTATTGTTATACTAAGACTTCAAAAGTTCAGAATTCTAACAATCTGATAAGCTGTTTGCTTATAAGTCGGGCGCTCTCCAGCCAGCCTTTCAGAGACTCAGCACCAGCAGCTTACGTCATCACCCACCACCAAATGCTGTTTTTTTTCTATGTCATGACTAATTGTATACTTTCCTGTGCAACAGGTGCACCCTTGAAAAGGTCCTGGCCAGCCAGATTGCTCTGTCTTGTCCATGTTTTCATTCTCTCTGTCTCCTAGTCTCTGTCTGTCTGTCTGTCTTTATCCCTCTATCAAGTCCCCACTCCAGGACAGTCTTTCGCTCTTCCACCTCCCCCAATAAACCTGTTGTGTTGAACCTGTTATATGGTGTGTTTTCTTGGCCTCATCCCACCAAGCTACCTTTCACCACCTTATCCTAACACTATATTAATCTAGCTCAGGTAAGCACTGACTACTATTACCATAATCACAAGCTTAAGATTTTAAATTTTCTTTGGTTGTCTTCTAAAAATAGACTTAAAATTTACTTCTCATGCTAAAAACATCTGTCCAATCTATATACACTCGGTCTTCTGGATAGAGAAAAAAGTGTTAATGCTTTCAACCAAAATCATTTTGGGGTTTACAAGCTTTTATTATGATGCGAAGGCATGAGTCTACTGCTCTTTCTATAATGTGGATTTCAGTACAGAGCCCAAACAGTGGAAATGCTAACATATCTAAAACTTGTATCTCTCAGATTCAGGGTCAGGAGCCTTATCATTTGAGCTACCCAAACCTTACCATAGAGGTCCTCTAAGAGATTCCACTGAGCAAGGGGTTGAAGCAGATTCTAAGACTCACAGCCAAACTTTGGGCAGAGCACAGCAAGTCATAAGAATGGGGGACAGAAAGACATGGAGGGGAGAGGAGTTCCATAAGAAGACCAACAGAGCCAACAAATCTGGGCCCAGGGGAGCCTGTAGAGACCGATGCACCAGCCAAGGACCATGCTTGTAAAAGACCTAGACCCCTGCTCAGATGTAGTCGACAGGCAGCTCAGTTTCTGTGTGGGATTCTTAGTAAGGGGAGCAGGAGCTATCTCTGTCATGGACTCTGTTGCCAGCTCTTTGGTCACTTCCCCTGGTGACCGCCCCCCGTCTTGCCAGGCCACAGAGGAAGAGAATGCAGGAAGTCCTGATGAGACTTGATAAATCACAGTCTGATGGTAGGAGAGGAGGGCTCCCCCTTTTTGAGGACTAGGGAAGGAGGATGGTGGCAAGA